GGTCCAGCGTCCCAACCAGCTAGTGTTCCTTCCCGTTCCATGGCCATTGTCCAAATGGCCCACCAGACTGTCCCTGAGTTGTCGGTCTGTCGGCTGGGCCAGGGGCCCCAGGTGGGGGCTGAGCTGCACCAGGAGACCCCGGGTTCTTTGGTAGACCCCAGAGATCCGCCTTCCCAGGAGTGGCTTCTGTTGAGGGGTACCAACCTCCCGCTGAGACTGCCATGCCTCACCCTCGCGGCTTGGACGATGTCTTCTCTGCAGCCTTTGCCTGCTGGTCCTCGCCTTGTGTCTTCCATAGCCAAATCCTGTGTTCTCGTAGCCCTTCTGGTGTCTGCTCCATGTAAATAGATTGTGTCCTCTGAGGCCATTACCCGGCTTCTGCTGGCGATCAGGAAACCCAGGCCAGTCCCCTTGCACATATGCTGGAAGCGGGGTCCAGCGTCCCAATCGTCAGTGTTCCGGCCATCTAGCGTACCTCCCAACGGCCCGCCAGACTGTCCCCTAGTCGGCCTCTCTGCTGCGTTACATTGTCTTTGACTTGAGCCTTCTGCTGCGTTACACTGTGTCTCTACCGTATGTTGACGATTCTGGGACTCTGATGGTTCATCCAAGCATGCATTAAGAGCCCTCTTCCCCCTCACCTGTACTTGCATACGAGAGACTGCGGTGTGTAGCGTTGGCACAGGACACTTGCCGGCTTCCATTGGAGGTTGTAGAATTGAGCAAAACACGAGAGAGACAGTGAGAAGGAAGCTATTGTGTAGAGCTATGGTGGATAGTTGCTCTGCACTCTGTGGGAACTCGTTCTGTCGTTCGTGTTGCATATTATTGACCATGAAGCTCGTGCGAGGATGTGGCTCCTAGGCAGGCCTAAGGGGCCCCTTATGCAAGTGTGCCCCCCTTAAGTGAAGGCAGGCCTAACAAATCACGAGAGGCCGAATGCTGTCAATTTCGTATTTGGGGTTCAGGCAGTTGTGTAGGGTCAGGTGGTTGAGGGAACCCAGGACCCGAGCAGCAAATACTTTCCACGACCTTCTAGGCCTTTTTCTGAAATGCAGGCCCTGGACCACATTCGTCGCAACATACACAGACAGTCGGGAGGCGTAACTGAACGAGGCCCAGCAACACCAGCAGAGGCCCAGCTACCTGGGGCCTACCGGAAGCTTCTGGGCGCACGCCCAGCCCAGACAGGCCACAGGCCAGGCCAGACTCTTTCCATATAGGAAAGAGTTCGCTGCCTGGCATCTCATTCGGGCACTTGCCAGTTTGCGGCAGCGCTGCTGGAGGGATTTCTCGCATGCTGCTGCTAGCGCTGGGGCAAGGTGCTGCGCACGTGCGGTCGTGTAAGAAGAAGGGCGCTGCCCTGGGCAGTGCCATAACGCAGCTTCCATAGCTGGCTGGGCTTGGATAAACAGCAAGGCGCAGTGGTGGTCTTCCGGTGGAGAGAGAGAGAGAGAGAGAGAGAGAGAGAGAGAGAGAGAGAGAGAGAGAGAGAGAGAGAGAGAGAGAGAGAGAGAGAGAGAGAG